CAATATTCATGAGCTTTTGTTTACATTTGAGCTGGTGCGTTTGCATTCACACTGCACTGTGCAGTCGAGACAACCTGTTGAACCAACCTATTCCCCCGCTCACCTGTGGGGGCGCTGCACCAAGAACTACTGAAAGAAACAACACAAAAACCTCTGAAGACACGTCTTCTTCTTCTTCTGTAAATAAAAATAAAAACGAAGTGGCATCAAGTTTGAGCAGTTTTAGGAGTTATATTTTGTCATTTTTCAAAAATGGACTTAGCATGAGCAGAAGATGAGACAGAAGACCATAGAGAATATTGTTTTTCCACACAAGGCAGCTGACGGCTCCATATGAGGTAAGAGAAATGTGTGTTTGTTTACCCTGCGGTCTGTTTACATTCACACTGTACTCGAACCACGCTGGAGTTCGCTTCTACCGGACCGAGATCTAGGTTTTAGCCCGGGCCAGAGTTCGCCTTTTTGTTCCGTGACAGAGTTCGATGGCGCGTTCACACCTCCCTAAACGAACCGGACTTTCTAGGAAAACGAGCTAGAGTTCGATTAAAGCAGACTTAACAGGACTGGTGTGAATGCACCCTTTGTTATACTTAGTAAATCCTTTGTCACAAACATTCATTGATAATCATTTCATTTGAAGTCAACTAATTTACAGATATTTAATTTTAATGTGGGCATCAAATCGTCACCTTTGAATATATAATATTTTTAATTATTGAATCAGTTGTTGGTCAGGCTACTTCTTGTTGTGCCATTAGCTCTAAAATAGTTACTGAATCAAGTGTTTACGTCCATCCATCTGTTAAGATATTTCCTATTTAGACTGGTCCTATGGCTTTGATCTGCTCAGAGACGGGATTATAATGAAATTATGAATCGGTTCTGACTGGGTTAAACTGGGCCAGCAGCTCTCAAGAGAGTCTCCCTGATGATTCAATATCAGTCAAATAGTTTTAATCTGCTTGCCACATCACGTAGGAAGGCTTTGAAGCACCGTTTCATATTTTTCCTAACACGTCAGTCCACAGAAGATCACACTTAGTCACGCCTCCTCATACACTGACAGGTTGAGCTCCCCCTTCTGCGAAGGCGGAGCCTAGGACCCTATAAAGAAGTAATGAGACGAGACATCGAGGCTCTTCTTCCCGCTCTGTGAACGCGTCACAGACTGAATAGAGTCCAGTGCTATGAATTGTAATCTTTTACTGCCTTTTTCTAATATAATTGATAAAACTTAATTGACGTTTCCTTGATTTATTGATTAGTATAGTTGCCATTTCTGAGGAAGTTTCGAGCCGGGGGTGAAGACGTGGGCTAGAGGGGGTTTCCGGATCCGGTGGCCCGCAGCCAGCTCCCGTCTTTAACACATCCACGGGGGTAGCAGCCTAAGTAGGGAGGTCCAGACTTCCCTCTCCCCAGCCACTTGGGCCAGCTCTTCCAGGGGTATCCCAAGGTGTTCCAAGTGTTTACTTATGTAGGTAAAACTAGATGTTAAACAACCATTGAAATACACCAGGATGCAGGAAATGGCATCTACTTTATTCAAAAATTTCTGGGGGAGGACCCCCAGACCCCTCCATCAGTGTGTGTCCGGCCACACACACATTATAAATGCTTCTGACACCAGTGGCCAACCCGTTACTAAACAAGTGCACATATGGTGTCATGTGGTGTTCAAAGTGCATTCAACTTAATTCAGTCTTGATGGTTTATGTCAATGAGCATTTGGAGTTTTATAAATAAAAATACACTTGATAGTTAGAATTTTAAGTATATTTACTGTATATTATGGTAATTTATTCTGTATTTTGCCAGATTATGGTGATTCTGGGGTCGTGATGATGGGGCCCTTGAAGATTGTTGCCCAGGGTACAGCGAAGTGTTAATCTGTCCCTGTCTGTAAGCTAGAACTCACATGCAAATCCCTCCCCCTGCCATCCTTCCTGAGGGTTTTCAGAGTGAAAAGAAGTTTTAGTAACATGTAAAATGTGAACGGGTGTGAAGCTGTCAGGATGAACTTCTGTAGTTTTTAGGTAAGTGTTGCCTAGCAACCAGAAGACATTTCTGCGCCTTGTGCTCCTTCTGCAGCTGCAGACACTCATATCTGAGTCTTCTGCTCGAAAAGGAGTCAGCTCGGTTATCGTTTCTAAACACACTGATCTCGTTTTTCACAGACTCCACTCCACGTAGAGCGATGGAATATCTCAGCAGTGAGTGGACGTCAGTGTTTGTGGACAGAACCAGGAACAAAGTCAGTATTTATTAACTGTAGAGCCGGTTGTTTCCTCCTGAGCCTCAGAGGATAATTATCAGCGGCTGCATGAGCTTCATATTGATTAGCAGATTCTCCAGTGGTTTGGCGTTGTCTCCTCCATTTCTTTCTTTTGTCGTCTTTTTTGTGCAGCAGCTGAACTCGACTGTTAGCTGCACATGAATGTTTAATGTTTCTGCCCTCAGGCGCTGCAGTGTCAACAGAACAAAGCTGTTGCACGAAAAACTAGAAACTTTCACACTGCATGCTGATTTATTTATTTTTTTATGTCAGCGCTGAAAGTTAAAGTTTGAACTTTAACCTCTCAGGCACAGAGTTTGTTTAACACTGTTTATAGGATCTTCAGCCATTTTATTGTAGATTTCTAGAGCTTTTCTTCATTTCTGTCAAACGGATGGAAGAGCAGACCAGGCTGAAGACATTTAGAAGGTCCGGTGGAAAAGTTTACTGACCTGCAACCATTTTCGGACCAATTAACATTTAAGATGAAACATCTGCCTTCATAGAGTTAGCTGTCATAATCAGCTGTGAAGATAAATTAGTCTCAAAAGAAGTCACACAAGCGTACAACAATGCGTGCGTAGAACAAGATCTTCAGATGTGTAAACAGTTTTTTTGATGTTCATATTTCAAAATGCACAAGTAATGCAAAATGCTGCAGTATATCCAAAAATGTTAATTTTGTACAAATAAACAACTTGATATGAGTAAGTGGAACTACTACAACTAAAATATATATTTTCCAGGTACCAGTAATTTTATTTCACAAGAAGAATAAACTGCCAATTTTGACCAGTTTATTTAAAATGTACAATCCACAAAGACAAAAATACCATAAACTAGATATTTTTCAGTAGTTTATCCACAAAAAGGAAATGTTAATTTTATGGATCATACGGTTGAAATAAACATCCCAAAAAGGTTAAAATATATTTATGGGGACTATATCTTTTTTCATGGTAGATTTTTCACAAGCAGAATACTATAATCATTTTAGGTTATTTTCACAAAATTAACATTTTTGGAACCCAGTCATGTCACATTGTAAGCGTATAAGTTTTAATATAGGGGTTATGAGCTCCTGTGCCAAGAAACGAGTCGTTTCCCAATAACTCAGTAAACCTGCTAACGCTCAGATGTCCCAGCTTTTTACAAGTCTTGAAAGCAGCATTGTCTATGTGAATCTTAAGCAGCAATAAAGCCTCAAATGTCACTCTCACAGGCAGCTGAACCATCTGCAGCAGGTATTTTGTGCACATTTATTAGACAATTTGTATGTGCAGCATATTACTACTTGTGCAAACTGAAATGTGTACATGTGAAAAACTGTTTACACATTTTTGAGTCGTTGCAATCTTATACGCTTGTGTGACTACTGAGACTAATTTAACTTCAGAGTCATCGGATTATTTAATACATGAGTATTTGAATAATGAATCAATACTCCAAGTGTCTGCCAAGCCCTTTAATGTCAATTTGACAGCACAGTGGAAAACAGGATTTGATCTGAAACCCACACACACACACACACACACACACACACACACACGCACATTAGGGGTGTAACAGTATCTAAGCCATGAGGATGACGGTTCACTACTACAGGAAACCAACACAAATACAAAATGTTAGTGATCAGTTTTTTAACCAGAGGCAAAGAAAACAAGTGGAACTTGTAAGAAGGGAGGCTCTACGATGACTCCAGCTATGATTTGTTTCCTCATGACTTCACTACAAGATGAAACAAGAGTACAGCATACAGCACATTAGGCTCCTGCCTGCTAATTATGGTCCAGACAAGCAGAGACCTTGTATACTATTTGACCTTGATTTGTGACCTTGAACTGACACTCTGTCCAGTGATGATGCATACAGTATGTGTATCAAGTTTCATTAAATTTTCTTGAGTGGATCAGAAGCTCTGATCTGCACAAGAAAATGTTTATGATCGTATGGAGATGATACCATAATACATGTGTAAAATTAACTTTATTTTTATGCATATGAATGTTTCTGTTCAGTGCCCTGAGACGACTTCTGTTGTGACTTGGTGCTATATAAATAAACTGAACTGAATTAAAAAGTCATTTGCTCTGATTTTTTTTTTTTCAATCCGAACTGCTTACAGTGTCTTACAGGCCCGAGCTAAACAAACAAAGAAATTATCAAGCAGCTGCAGTTGTAAAAAAATATAAATAAATAAAAAGGACTTTATGCAAAATATAAAGTGCTACAGAACTAAATATATTTTTCCAGTGTCAACATAAATCAAATGTGAAACTCTCAAAATAACCTTTTTAGCTAGATGTGTTTCTGTGAAAGTGACGCTTGATATTGGGGAACTTGAATAAATTCACAAACAGCCTGCCATAAATGTTTTAATTCCACGATGTGTGGATTAAAGTATGTGGATGTTTCTGTTCAGTGCCCTGAGATGACTTCTGTTGTGACTTGGAGCTATAGAAATTAGCTCAATAGAATTATGACAAACTGCTTGCCGTACTTCACCTCTCATCTCCTGCTGCTCCCGAGCTTCTCCAGAGCTGACCTGAACCAAACGGGCCGTTCAGCTTCTTGCGATTTTGAACCAGCCATGTTTCATTTGATGTGTGTGGGAGTGGTGATCACCTGGGACTGGTGTATTTTTGTAATTCCCTCGACTATACCTGACCCGTCTGTACTGAACCGTCATGGTACAAATACACATACTGTTACATCCCTAACACACATATGTTCTCATCCTACGTCCTTTTATGGGAATGAAACAAAATCTTCTTGAAGGCCCTCCTGAAGTCTCTGTTGAAAATGGTGTAGATGATGGGGTTCAAGCAGCTGTTGCAGTATCCGATCCAGAAAAACAGGTTGAAGAGCGTTTCTGGGATGATGCAGTTCTCTCTGCAGATCGCATGCAGGCTGTAAGTGAAGAAGAAAGGGAACCAGCAGAGGACGAAAACCCCCATCACCACAGCCAAGACAAAGGTGAAACGCTTCTCCCTCATCTGAGCCACTTTGTTTTTGGACAGAGACATCTGCCTGCTGCGAACAGGCAGCGGAGACGGGAGGAGGAAGTGCTGGGAATACTGGTCGGAGGAGGCCCACGATATGGAGGCACAAGAAGGCGGAGGAAGAGGGGGTTTCAATTTGTTGCCTGTTCCCTCAGCGTCCTTCACCTCCTCTGTTTTCACCCTTCCTCCACCTTTCTGGGGGAACTGGAGGGATGAGGAAAAAGATGTTTTGATGTCAGCTTCGCAGCTTCGATCCTCCAGGTCGATATCATCCAGCTCTCCTCGCCTCTGACTGCTGCTGTTGCTGTCGAGGTTGGAGGAGCAGTGTCGGTTTTCAGGCCTCGGGGTGTCCAGTTTGTACTGGGCCTTGGCTTTCCTTTGGCCCGTAGTGACAGCCCCCACAAAGCAGGTCTCAGACTGGGATGGTTGCCGCTCCATGATGTTCTTTGCCACAAATACGGTGGAGGCTCGCTGCTTGGCAACCCGGTATATCTTACAGTAAACAAGAATCATAATGACTCCCGGGGCGAAAAAGGACACCATGCAGGATGAAAGGATGTACCAGGTCTGGTTGTTGATCAGACACTCATGCTGGGTAGTTTCGTTCCCATCCTCTTCTGTAAAATTGTTGTCTTTGTGGGTCATGAGGAGCGGTGGGGATGAGATGACGATGGAGATGAGCCACACTATGCTGATCATCACTTTGATTCGTTTAGGAGTTCGTTTGCGGTTGTAGCTAACGGCTTTAGTGACGGACCAGTAGCGGTCGAGGCTGATGGCACAGAGGTGGACGATGGAGGACGTGCAGAAGAGGACGTCCAGAGCCAGGTAGAAGGAGCACCAGGTAGAGCCAAAGTACCAGTACCCCATAACCTGGAGAGAGAATATTAAAGTTACATTTCAGAAGTTTTTTAATGCAGATTTTATTTCTTCCATCACAGATTCAGCCATGACAGACGTGCCAGAAGGTTGTTTTTATTTAATTAATACCTCTTTGGTGTCATGCTGGACTTGAGTTTACAGCTCACAAACATGTTGTAAAAATGTTCAAGTTGACAGTCCTTAAACTTCTAACCTAAAATCCAGAAACATTTTAAGAGTAAAAAAAAGTCAAAGATTTTTATTCATCTTACAAATAATTAAATTCATGTTGGAATTCTGGGACTTTAAAACCCAATCTGTTCACAAGATCTTCTGAAAAACCTTAATTCCTGTTGCAAACATTCATTTTCATAATAGTTCACATTTGATTATAACAGCAGGTAAGATTATTTTGATTATATCAAGATAAGAACATGTTGATAAAGAAGGTTTAACAGAAATCCATAGAAACATATTTGATAGTTAATTTAATTTTTTTAAAGTATTTGGTAAGGGCTTCTAAAATGTGAGGAATTTTGTTTAAAATCTTTTTAAACTGAATTATTTTTAGGTGTTGTTCCAATATTTTCTCAACAGTTGTTTTTTTTTACCCAATAATCATAAAGTTATGTTAAAGTTTCCTTACTAAAATGACTGCAACTTTATTTTACAGTCCTTTAGTTACTCAGCGGTAAATGTTTATATACAGTATACAGCTGTGTGCATATATATATATATATATATATATATATATATGTACAGTATATACACACACACTCATCTGCTGCTTGCAGATGGAGGACTTTTGCACTTAGCCTCATTTTTGAGTTTGTTATTGTAAGTCAGGTTTTATGAATGTAGCTTTGAAACAAAACTATTTTTATTAGTCATAACTAAGTCTCAGAAACTGACATCACATCCTTTGCTTTGTCACATTGTATCACTGTATTGTGTCAAATAAAACTCATTGAAGTAAACTGTGATTATGAACAGTCTTATCGTTGATTCTTTAATATACTGGATCGCTGGCAGTGTATTCAGTTCAATTCAATTCAGTTTATTTATATAGCGCCAAATCACAACAAAGTTGTATCATGACACAGGGATGAACAAAACTCATATAAATGTCTCTATTTTCTGTTATTAACATGAATTCAATTTAATTCAGTTTATTTATATAGCGCCAAATCACAACAAAGTTGCCTCAGGGCACTTTACAGGAACATTCACATACATAAAAGCCAATTAGTAAAGTTCTCTATCTAGGAATCCAGCAGACAAGTTGAATCTTGACTTTGTGAATGAATGAACATTAAAAAGAGTTTCTACTGAAAAGAGAACAAAGACTTGTGAACAAAGGGACTCAAGACAGAAAATTCACTTTTTATTGAGCAAAAACAAGCGTTATGCCTGTGTCCCCCGTCACTGAGGGATTTGAACAGGAATGTTTGTAGTTCTTGAGATGAGTGTTTTTCTGAACTGGAACTGAACAGATAATGTAAGTAAATCTTAATGTTTTTGTTGCGAGATATTCAAGACGGTTAGAGTGACACTGTGGAGAAGAAGATAAGTTTTGTTTTTATTTGACTGAGGCAGCACAACCACAGAGTGATGGATCCTGGAGAGTGAAGAGAGTAATTTTATCCACCACTAGGAGCAGTGGAGGAGCCAAGGGTGGCCAATGGTGACCTTGGCCACCATATTAAACTGGGTTTCTTTTTCAGAAACAGATCCTGTCTAACCCTGAATGCTAGGAAACGCCTTGTATCTGTGACTTTCCTTCCCTCCATTAATTATGGTGACATTATTTACATGAACGCTCCTACAAGCATCCTGCAGATGTTGGATGCTGTCTATCATGGTGCACTAAGATTCATAACTGGCTGTGATTATCGTACCCACCACTGCACCCTGTATTCACTGGTTAACTGGTCATCATTAACTTCACGCAGACTCTCTCACTGGTACATTTTCATCTTTAAATCACTTCTTGGTCTGCTGCCTTCATACATCTCCTCCTACATGTCTCTGCGTGAGTGCAGCTACAGAGTGCGCTCTCAGGACATTATTACCTGCAGTGTTCCCTCAGTGAGGACTGAACTAGGCAAAAGGGCCTTCTCCTACTCTGCTCCTGTTTCCTGGAATATCTTGCAAAAAGATCTGAAGCTCTCGACCTTGACCTCTCTAAGTGGCTTCAAGAATCTGTTGGACTCCTGGCAGGGACCAATGCAGACATGTTCCTGTTTTTAGTTTTCTACGTTTGCCTTAGAATCTAGCTGTTTTTGTTACTGTTTTTTTGCCATCTTATTTGTAAAAAACAATCTGTATGCCTTTTTTGTGGCTGTCTGTTGTTGTTGCTGTTGTCCGTTGTTTTCATCACTCTTTGTTGAAATCAGGTCTCTCTTGTAAATGAGTCCTCGAGGCTCAATGGGATTTACCTGTTTAAATAAAGGTTGAATGAATATATACACAATGGCCATCTTGGATTTTGACTTGGCAACTCAATTTTATGTAGCGACCTTTTTCGGCATCTAGATTTAGCTACACACAAAAATGGAAATATATGTACCTGCTTATTTTTCAATGTATCAAGCTCAAAACGTACACCGACAGAGGCTATTTCCCATAGGCCTTTTTCACTATGACGTCAGACAACTTCCTTTTTGACTCAATGCTGTGAATCATTACTTCCGGGTCTATTCTCCCTCGGGAAACCTGTCTGGAAACTTAATGGAATTTCATTCATTCAGCCTTTATTTATAGAGGTTATATTACAAGATATAGCATAAGGTTAATAAAAACAGTATTTATGTGTTTGTTAGGTGTGGTAACGTTATCCATCATTGCAGCAACTTTAGCCACAGTAGCTAAAATATACAACACAGGCTGTCAGTGCTCTAACGTTTAAAGGTTTACTAGCTATATTAACGTTAATACAAACAGTATTTACGTGTTAGTTAGCTGTGGTAACGCTATCCATCATTGTCAATTTACCATTCTGTAACTGTGTAAGGAAACAGCCTCCAATTGGAAAGTAAGCTAGCTAACAGCTAACAGGTAGCTAAAATATACACTGCTGCTGCCTGTCAGTGCTGTAACATTAAAATGTTTACTTTATCTATTAATGTAAAATCTCTGACATCTTCCAACATTGTTGTTTAGAATAGCATTTTAAATATTAAATTAAAAACTATATGTCAAACCATTTCCATGTTCTGATGTGATTAAATAATTTCTCTTTTTACTTTCTTCTTGTGTCCATCTTTCTCAGCAGCAGCTCACTTAACCAGCATGACACAGTCTTCAAGATGTTGTTATTGCAGTGTGCCATGTTGTTTCAATAATAAACAAAAAACACCGTATTTGAGTTTCCAAAATTTTCCCGTGGACAAAGAAAAACGTTCCCGTTGGGTGAGAGCGATCAGGAGAGATGAAGGGCCAACTTTTAAAATCCTTCGTGGGAGCACACATGCAGTCTGCACTTTGCCCCAGAAGATCTAAATTCATCAGCCAGTAGAAGAACCCGTATCAGACAAGGAGCAGTACCATTTAGATTTTGCTGGAATGATTGGGGTAAATGGAGGGAGGACAGTGCTGAACATTTTTAAAAATAAACAAAAATGTGTCATGACCATGAAGTGTCTGATTTCCCACCTCTAGGGAGACGCTCACAAGCTCGTGAGTCAGTTTACCTGTGAGCAAGAAAGTGTCTCGGTGCTGCTGGCCAGGATGACTCCTAGGAGATGCCTGACCCCGGGAACTGTACAGAGGAGGCATCGCCTACAGGTGCAGTGGCAAAAGATCACAACTCTGCCTGACATCCTTCTCCGGGTTATTATTGCAGAAAATGTATTTTAGAAAAAATATATGGCAGTGAATAACACTGCAACCATCTTGTGGTTGTATTCAGAACATGTTAGACTTGCTAATGGTTGAGAGACGTCAGTAAATACATGAAATGATTTGAATGAGGAGGAGCAGCTTTATACTTTATGAAAAATATTGCATATTTTGTGTTTTCCCCTTTGAAAAAAATTACATATATCTTCACCTCAGAACTGTCAAGGCAATAACGAGTAAGTAATAGGAGAAATGCTGTAATACAAAAGATATTTGATAATTGAACAGGAAATTAATGGGTGGATAAGTGATGTCTATTAAGATTTATATTTTCTTTTCTCTTAGGTCAACTGGATGATGCTGCACGGAGAATTCAAGAGTTGCAGAGACAAGTTTTGTCCTTAGAAATGGAAATCCAGCAGCTGACAATTAATAAGTGCCCTCCTGTGTGTGTGTGTGTGTGTGTGTGTGTGTGTGTGTGTGTGTATATAAATATATATACATATATATAAGTTTATTTACCAACATTGCTCCATGTACAGTGTTCAATAAAATTATTAAATTAAATTTTGCAAGAAGTAGCCACAAACCTTGTTTAATTGTTACACAACAGAAGCTTTAATTTTGAGCATTTCCTCCCTTCCTCCATGTACTACATTACCAGATGTGTAAAATATACAAACAGATGCAATTTAAATGTAAAAGATGTACATATGCAGATTACTGAAGACAAGCTATTT